GGGGACAGAGCCTAGTTTGGGCTGGTGAGGATTGAACCCAATGCCTCACACATGTGAGGCCCAGTGAGGTTGGGGGAGGTAGAAGGTGCTCTCAAAAGGCAGATTTTTCCTTTTAAAGGTTTCTGACACACAGGTGACCTTGCTTTTGTTTAGCTTTATATGGTTTTCAAACACATGCTTTGCTTTTTCTTTAAAAATAATTATAACTTTCTTTTGTTTATAAACATAACAAACCCTCATTCAAAAATTGGATGATATAGAAAAATAAAGATGAGAGTAAGCCAGGTGCAGTGGCACACGCCTGTAATCCCAGTGGCTCAGGAGGCTGAGGCAGGAGGATCTCGAGTTCAAGGACATCCTCAGCAATGGCGAGGCGCTAAGCAACTCGGTGACATCCTGTCTCTAAATAAAATACAAAACAGGGCTGGGGATGTGGCTCAGTGGTTGAGTGCCCCTGAATTCAACCCCTGGTAACCACCCGCCTGAAAAAAAAGATAACAATCATCATCTCTGGTATCTAGCCACCCAGAGGGTAACATTGTTAACAGGTTGGTGCATTTCTCTCTCTTTTTTCAAGGTATTTCTACTTTTAAAAAATGAGGTTGGGAGGGGCTAGGGACACAACTTAGTTGGTAGAGTGCCTGCTTTGCATGCACAAGGCACTGGGTTCAATCCCTGGCACCAACACATACGAAAAAATGAAGTTGGGGGTCATGTGATTGCACCTTAGCCAGGTGCAGTGGCGCCTGTAATCTCAGCAGTTTGGGAGGCTGAGGCAGGAGGATCACAAGTTCAAAGTCAACCTCAGCAATTTACTGAGGCCCTAAACAACTCAGTGAGACCCTGTCTCTAAATAAAATATAAAAAGAATGGGGATGTGGCTCAGTGGTTAAGTTCCCCTGGGTTCAATCCTCAGTATTAAAAAAAAAAAAAAAAAAGGCTGCCTTTTTACACTTAACATTATCCTGTGAATCTTTTACCTTGAGAATATATTAATATATTAATGTATTCCTTTTGTAAAAATTTTTTACATAAAATGTTCAACTCAGAAAAGGAAAATAAATACAATATATATTGACATGATTCCCACAGGTTATTAAATATGCTCTG